TTCTTTCTTTCTTTCTTTCTTTCTTTCTTTCTTTCTTTCTTTCTTTCTTTCTTTCTTTCTTTTTCTTTCTTTCACCTTCCAGTCAGTGTTGACTCCTGGAGACTGCTTGGACCAGTCCCTGCAGTTTTCTGGGCAAAGTTTTTTGGAAGTGGTTTGCCCTTGCTTCCTTCCTCAGGCTGAGAGTGACTGGCCTGAAGTCCCCCAACTGGCTTTGTGCCTAAGACGGGACTAGAACTCACACCCTCCCAGTTTCTAACCTGGTGCCTTGGCCACTGCACCACATTGGCTCTTCTATTGCCATTTACAGCAGGATTATAACTTAAATCCTAAGGCTTGCGAGGCTATCCAAGAATACAGGGCATTGGAGTGATTGCAGTGGGACGAGATGTATTTTCCATTGTATGTATTCTAAAGTATTATCATTGATTAGTATACTCTTGTTCTCTTGTTTCTAGAACAACAATAGATTTTTAAAGTATCATCTGATATATAACAGCAAAAATGACCTTGTAAATAAGTACACCTTAGAATTTGTTTAATTATGTAATAATTTCTTCTGTAAGTGTTAGAAAACTGGAAGAAATACATTTTAAAAAGTGATAGGAGTTAGAGAATGATTAAAATCAGAATGATTTTCAGTCAGATATTCAGGCTAATATATTATTAATGAAATCACTATGAGACAGGTATTTAGATCATTTGCAAAGATCAGTCTATTGGTAAAGTCTGAGCAGGAATGAATAGGTGATGGGTACTGTCAAACATAAGGGAATATCTGGAAAACACTTTATCCATATTAATCTTCTGTGAGGGACATGTGCCCCAGTCCTCTATATCTTCCAGCATCTTCCTCTATGGACCATGGTGACTGGGATTCCTGAGAGGTGTTTTTCAGCAAAATGTAGAGAGTTGTAGGTTCTTCATTACTGATTTAAGGAATTGTCTTTTTCTGTTTGGAATTAAAGGATTGACCAAAGTATGTACAGTAAATAAGAGCAGAGAAGACAAATTAAAAATGGTTACATGATTGCACTGTATTTAAAGTATATTGAGCTAAAAATATGAGTGAATCTTGCAGTTTCCTTCATAATTATTACTTCTGACCATTTTGAGACTCCATCTAAATACAGCTGTGAGCTCTTTTGACCCTATGTATTTTTAATGGCTTTTTAAAATTCAAAACTGAACTCGGATTTGAGTGAATATCGTTGGAAAGACTGCCTGTTTGATTGTTACTATTATAAATGAATATAAATTATTATTTTCTGGAACAACCTGGCTGGACAGGAATGGAATCTGTATTAAGGAATGTAACTCCTGCATTTACCAAAGAGAGAAAGCGACTGGCTCTACATACTTCAATGGAAAGAGCAAAGCAAAAGAGGGGCCTCTTATGCTGTACTTATTTGTTATTGTAGGGTAAAGCTGGGGCCTACAAGACCCCACATTACTGTGGTGATACAATGAGCTTGGGCGGAAAGATAGTTCCTGCCTCCTGCTAGTGTTTTATTTATTTCTTTAAAATAGTTTTGCATCGCTTACTTAAAAAAAAAACTCAATGCAGTTTACAATAAAAGTCTTTCCTGTGGAGTAGAA